ATTAGGCGGCGTATAATTCGTGCTCGACGGCCGATGAGACGGGCGGGGCTGGGCGGCCGGTGACCGGCCCACGGGGCGGTGTAATTGTATGTCATTGGTCGGCGCGGTGAGCTATGAGCTGACCGGCCGGCACCCGTGCCCAGATGAATGACTGTCGACAGGTGAACCAATCGCGCTCTGAACGGCAGAGCGGCCAGCGTCCTGGCGCGTGAGAAGTAGGGAATTGGGATGACCGCGGAGCCGGGGCAGAATGTGTAGACTGCCAGTTGCCTGCCAGATGGACGGGGCTGTTCGCACGGAGAAATGTGTTCGTAGTTTTATAGTGGCGGAAACATTAATACGAAAGGGAAACTATAACACACACTCAAACAAACTTCGATTTCCTGCCCGTATACATTGTACTTGCTTCAGACGTTGTGGAGAAACACGGCTACGGGAGCCGAAAGAGCAACTCTTGCAAAGCTGGAATGTCGACAGAAACTCCTGTCCGAACTTTGTGCCGTGGGTGTTGCCCTGCTGTGACTTCAGCACCAGAAGAATCCCACCTGAGCGCACCGCCCGAGCCCGACTCCGAAGTTGGGCGCCGCTCGGCGGCTGTGAGGCGGTGACCGACCGTCTGATGTCCCACGGCCGACCCGCAGTCGCAGAGCGCTGCCCGCAGGGGGTGCACGACCTCCCGTCCGGCCCGCGCGCTCCGTAACTCCAATACGATTAGCGGCGGCCCGATCGGCGATTGTTTTAGCCTGGTTCTCAGGGCGCGCGGCGCGCCTCCCATGCACGGCGGCGCCGCGGCCGGCCGGCCGGCCGTGCGCTGGCCGTAATCGCCGCCCGCCGGGCCTTATTACGTTATAGGGTAATGACGTTCGCCGAGCGGAGCGGCGTTCTCGGCGAATTCTGCCGCGCGCCGCCGGCGGGACCGGCTCCGAACTGACGCTCGCCGTGCAGACTGGCTCGCTCGTATGACCCCTGCACAGGTCGCGGTGGATGACCCCTGCACATGCTGTGATAAATGGACGATTACGGAGGTCGCCGATTCGCACCCCTGCCGTGACCGCGGACTGACGATGGCCCGGCCGCGGACGGGGTCCTCTGTGCTCGCCGCCGCCGGCGGACGGCCACTGCCCTGCGCTCGGGTCACCGGCTGACCCCGCGGCCGGTCAGAGGTCACGGGCCAGGCTCGCCGCGCCGCGCCGCCAGACGCCGCCACTCGGCCGCACTCGGCGCGCATTCCAACTGCGCCGTGTGCGTCGTTTTTGTCGCCGCAGGGGCGCCGGTTTTTGCGGCGCCTTGCCGTGTAGCGGGACGCGTTTAGGCGCGGATTACGCGACGCGTCGACCGCCAGTCTGGTGGTCCGTGGTCCGGTGGTCCGTGGTCCGTGGTCCGGCCGACGCCCTCGCCGGTTCGGCCGCGCCCGACGTCTTCATAGAAGCTGTCTGTCAGTCGCGCCGGCCGCCGCCGCCGCCGCGCCGACCGCACTCACCGAATGCATATCGAGCCGGGACGTTTTATTCGCAGATAGGATCTGCGCGGCTGCATGCCGGCCACTGATGGATCTGGAACCATCGACATGTTTGGCTATCACCCGTTTGCATGCGGAATAATATGCTGCTAATCAGGCGGCAGGCGGCCGTCTCGGTGGCTGCGAATCCAGTAGCTGTTAGCTGTCAGGCCGCGGATCGATTTTTTATGTAGCCGGTGTGGTAGCGGGCGTGCATACAGCGCTTCGGTAGCGGAGTGGCGTTTTGATTCACATGATAACTGTGCAAAACCTGGCCGAGCGCGGCCGCTTGTCACTGGTATCGGGCCGCGATCCGGAGCACGTCTGCGCGGCAGAGGCGGCGCACCGCGGCGCGCCGCGCGCCTCTCCCACGCCGCCGAGACGGGCCGCGTTGCGCAATAGTCGCGCCCAGGCGGCCTTGTTTTGCACCAAAGGGGATCGCCATTAACGCGACGGGGGACGGCGCGGCGCGCACGACGCGCCGCTCTCGCCCGGTTCGCCGCGATATATCGCCGTCCGGAAAGCGCCACTAAATTATATCACGGCCGAGCGTAACGTGAAAGGCGCTGCGGCGTCGGCGGGAGGAGGAATGCAGCTCGTATCGGCGGCGCGCTCATCTCCATATCTGAGCGCGATTATTTACGGCTGAAGGGCAGCGCTGCGCTGCAGCGCAAATCGCTGCCATTTAAATCGTGCACAGTTGTTTTGGAATCGCGGGCAATCTATTAGCTGCAAGTCAGAGCTGGCGCTCGGTGGCCGCGCGTCTCATGGTGCCGCCGCCTCTCGCCGCCGCGCGCGCCTGGAATGTGGAGAGAGCCGCCAGCCGAGCTGGAAGACCGATGAAGTATTCAGAACGCCGCCGGGCGCGCGCCGCCATGACTAATTCCATGTCAGACATCCGAAAGTGAAATTAGCCGTGGCTGCGGCGTCGGACCGGTTGCGGCGGTCGGTGCGTGCGCGCGTGACCCGCTCGCCGGCCGGTGTCGGCCCGACAGCGGACGGGACACGTTTTTGTCGGGCCCGGTCGTGGCCGGTTCGCCTCACTGCCATCTGTCAGTCGAAATCGGAACGAGGGCGCGCGTGAGCGGCCCGTCGGACGGCCGGTGGTCCGGGCCGCCGTCCGGGACCACCGGCGGAGGACCGCCGGTCCGCTGACCGTATCTGGCGCTGCCGGCTGATGAGCCGAGCTGTGGGCCGCCGCCGGCCAGCTGGTCAGCCGCTGTCTCACGCCGCTCCGGTCACCTCCTCACGGGACGAACCGGTGTCGCCGGGACGGCGCTCGATAAGAGGCGACTCCGAGTCGCGTATCTGTCGGCTGACGCTCGCCCAGCCATTAGTCTGAATTCCGATGGTATCCTTTGAGGAGTGGATGGCTGGAACGGTGCCTTTTGTGTTGGGTGCGGCGGCGGCCGGTCGCTGCCGCTCGCGGCTCTCAGTGTCGGGCGGCCGGCGCGGGCCATCTGGGCCGGGCTGCCTCCGCGGATCGGCAGCTGACGCCCGCGGAGCCGCAGATGGCTGGTCACCGTCAGGCAGCTCCGCTGCTGAATACAGCTGAACTGGTCTCCTCGACCGGCGCCGCGGCCAGCTGCCGGCTGCAGCGCAACCCAGGCGTATCGCCCGCAGCACGCCGAGCACCTCCGCACGCCGGTCACCTGTTCGGCTGCACGTCTTACCGCGCACGGCCGTCACTGGTCTACCCCTCCCGTGCCGAGCGCTGACCCGATCCCGCTGACCTGACATACCTGTGCGGCGTCCTCTCGCCTTCCCACGGCCCTGTGCCGACTGTCCACCGTCCGTCGCGCCGGCGCGACCCGGCTGATGTATGCGGCATTGTGTGCCGCTCGGATTTACATAGCGTCGACAGCGGCCGGCCGCGGCGCGACACACGCAGACAAAACGGCGAACCCGGTGGAGACGGTATCCGCACATCGACACGGCGAACCCGGCGGAGACGGTATCCGTGCATCGACACGCCGCCGGGACGCCGGGGGTGGGAGGTCTGCAGCGCGCCGCCGCGCTTCCCACGCCCCCGTGAGTGCACCGTGCTCCGGCGCAGTGAGGAGGCGCGATCTCTGCTCAGTGGCTGTCACAATCCAGACTCCAGACGTTGAGCCTATGGGGTCTGTGGGCAGCAGCCGGCCACCTCCTCCGCCGCCCAGCCGCCCCGGCGGAACGGCTGCTGCAAAAACCGGGGACATTAATGTGGCACCTCTGTTATCACCAATTATTTTGGCCCGGCGCGGCGCGGTGGAGCCGGCAGTATAACTCACGGCTCTGATTAGTGTCACCCGTTCTTTGGCCGGCTTCCGGCGTCAGACGCGGCCACCGGTGCCAGGTGGGCGCCGTCCCAGGTGTCCCAGCCGCTGTCCCCGGCGCCCCCGGCGATCCCGAGATACCCAGACGAACGGCGACCCCGGTGACGGCGGCCGGCGGCGCCTGGACACACCCTTCTTCTGGGACCGACCGACCCACCCGCGGTCCTCCGCTGCATACCGGCCTGGACGTGAGCAAACACAACCTGCAGGCCAAAGGGCAGCGTGAAGCCAAATAAACTCCCGGAGCCTCTCCCATTTTACATAGAGTGGTGGGTGTCCCTCACTTTGACTTGCCGGGCTCCTGAACCCGTTACGGCTGTGACGAGTTCGCTGATGCGCTCTTTGCTTCGGCCCGTGACCTGTGATTTCCCCGAGGTGCCGGTGGTGACCTCCGATCTGCGCGGAGGCCGTCTGACCCGGCAGCCCTCGACTCGGCGGAATGGCCGTTCATCTCCCGTCAGCGGCGTTATGACACGGCGTGGTACGCCACCGACACGACTTTTGACGGATGATTCCCTAACGTAATCACAAGCGGGAGCTCTGGCGGGCGCAGACTGAGCTCTGGGCCGCTCCCGGGAGTAACAGGGTGGTGCAGGGCTGATGGTTGTGACACGTTGACACGTCAGAAACAGTCCCAGCTTTCCTGTTGGCCCGACAGAACCAGTCTCAGTGTGACTCGATAGTGATAGGCCCTGTCCAAATGACAAGAGTGACCGTGCCAAGACGAGCGCATGTGTCTTCACGGCGGCTGGCGCGTGGTGCTGAGAGGGGCGACGCTGTATTCGTTGCTGTTGCTGACGCTAACTTCACGGACATGGGGCAGCGGCGCGTCAGCCAGGGATAGGGAAACAGCAGAGACGTGGTGCTTAGTTGCTCGCTTAGCTGCTACAGCCCTCAATGCATGAATGTATGTGTCGTCCAGAAATGCCTGAACTACTGTGTGCTATCGGGATGTTTTGATCTTCGTGAGTCCGTGACGCTCCTTATTGAGAGTGATGTTTGATGGAGATTTACTAGTGGGTGTTTGGTGACCAGGATTTTAATATCTATCCCGCAGCAGTCAATTGCACCGAAATCGGTGGCACTGTGTGATCTACGTCCGTGTGTTGATGTGTCAGTGTGTGTCAATGTGTCACTGCGCCAGTCTCCGTTGTCACTGACCCTCTCTCGATCGCCGTGTGTTGCAGCGGCCGCCCTCGTCGTCGCTGTCGTTCAGCGGTCAGGGTGCCGAGGACGTGCGCTCGCCGGGCTCCGGCGGCACGCCCGGCCCGCTCAGCCACCCTCCGGCGTCCACCCAGAGCGCCGACAACGGCAGCGAAGCAGGTACGAGCGGCGCCGCGAGCTGCCACACCTCCCACACCTCCCACCTGACCCAGCTGAGCGCCTGCCGCGCGCGCACATACATAACGCATACTCTGGAGCTGGGTTCGCAGGGCTCGGCTACGTGATACAAACTAGCGGCATATAGTTGGAGTTGGAACTACTTACTTTGGTGACTTTATATAGTAGCTGAGATTTCTGTCCATCATTCTCTCGACAATACAGGCGTGTCAGATAGGTGAAAGATCACTTGCACTTGCTGCCTGGCCGTGCACCGAAGCGCGCCGAGCACTCAGCAGTCGACTGACTGACAAGGGGTCTCAATGGCCGTCCCATCCGCCGTGGGGGTGGCCGCGTCCCCTCCCCACTGTCACCGCAACATGGCGCCCGATGACGTCACGGCCGGCTCGGGTTGTATCGGTGACGTCACCGGTGGCAGGTATCGGCGGCGCCGGTGACGGCAGCAGCAGCGGCAGCGGCGGCCGGAGCCGGAGCCGGAGCCGCTCCCGCCTCCCTCCCCCGGACTGACGCGCGCCCGATAGCGCTGCAGGCTTTGTCCGCTCCGGCGAAATTGTCAGATAGCGTTCTGGCTAATCGGCCGACATTTGCGTAATGGCGGATCACGCGTTAATGGGTGTCGCCGCGGCCGATGGCGGCCGCCTGAGCCCCGGGCCAGCAGCGGCCGAGCCGGGCTGAGCTGCATAATGGTCGGCGCGTGCCATTTGTCTCCTCAGGTCATGTTGCACCTCCAGCTGGGACCGTTGGCCGTGCAACATTCAACAGGCTGACGGCGGCCGATAGAGGCGCCTCTTCTGAGGGCGCCTTTCATATGTGATGCAAACAACATCATCATCGGCGCATAATACATGAGAGCGGCACAGCCTGCTCCGCCAGACGACAGATGTCCGCACGCCGCCGCTCCGGTCCCGTATCCGCCTGGTCCCGTATCCGTCTGGTCTCGTATCCGTCTGGTCCCGCATCCGTCTGGTCCCGTATCCGTATGGGTCCTCCGCATCCGTATGGGTCCATATTCTTCGTGCAGCGTGCACCGACATGTACCGGGTCGCGGCGGTGACCGTCGCGCGCGGTGCCATTGCGCGCGGTGAGCCGACCGTCCTCGCCTCGCTGTTCACCACGAACGCGGGGTCGCGGGCCAGTGGTGACCGCACCACCCGGAATGACCGTCGCCTACGGCCACCGGTTACACGCACTGTGGCTGGGCAGCGTGCCTTTTCATACCAAGCGACCGCGCTTTTAAACCAGCTGCCAGCTGCCCTTTTAGACCTCGATCCCGGCAGTTTCAAGAGAGCAGTGAAGGCGTTCTTCTGATGGACTGACGAGTGGCTGTGATTGACGGTAGTGTGGTTGCATATGGAGTGTGTGTGTCTGTGTGCGTGGCGAGTGTCTGGTATATGTATAGGTGTGTGATTTGACTTTTTATTGTCTTTTACCCTGACGTATGTTTTTTTTTTTTTACTCGCAATGACTTTAGACACGGAATAGCCACAGTGTATGTGGAGTGTCTGCCTACGTCAATACAATACAATACCGAACATCACCAGAGCCTTTCTAACCCCGTCCCCCGTCCCCCGTCCCCGTACCAGAGGGCCGGCGCGCGGACGGCCGTCGTCGCACAGCGCCGCCACCGTCGTTCAATTTAAGCCTTATCTGGGCGGCGCTGCAGGCAGACGATCAAAATATGTTGTTTTTTGCGGCGACCAAAAGCCGAGGCGGCCGCGCGGCGCGGTCGGAAATTCCTCAGCTCAAGCCCTCTTAGCTGGATCTAATGCATGTAACCGGTTTGTCCGGAGGCGGTGGCCTGTTGTGCACCTCGGCCGGCCGGCCGGCCACCGCACGGCGCTGGGGGGGGGGGGGGGGCACTGTCACCGGACAGTCGCTGTCAGATGACAGTGGCACCAGGCACTGGTGTTCGGCGGCGCGCCAGTCCCGTCACGGCGCGAGTCCTGGTGACGTCACCGAATTACGTAATGTGCATATGTCGGTGGACAGCTCCGTTTTACAAACACACAGGGTGATGCATAGCAGATACCGGACCGAATAACAGGCTGTGTCAGCACGTGACTCAGTGACACTTTGTGCCGCCATCGGACGCGCCGTGACAGCTCGTGACAGCTCGCTGGCAGCTGGTGATAGCTCGTGACAGTTCGTGACAGATCGTGATATCTCGTGACGGCTCATGCAGCGCCCTTCAGCCGGCCTTTCTGGGTCGCTCGTCACGATGGGAGATGAATTGGACTGTCCATCCGGCTGGCAGTCAATGTGCTGAGCTGTCCGTCAGATCGTGGCTTGACCTGTCCTGCCCTATCCGGCCGATAGTTTTGTGTCGGGACGCCTGTCCTGCCCCGCCCTGTCTTGTCCGGCCGTGTGGGCGCCTGTACGTACACACAATTTTATCCGGCTCTGCTCTGTCTTTGGCCGTTGTTCTGTTCCGTCCCATCGAGCCCTGTAGTATCTCTGTCCTGCCCAGCCCTGTCCCGTCCCGCGTGTCGTCCTGTCTGGGCCAGCCGGTACGACCGGCAATGTTTGGTCTGCGCTCTGGCTGTACCCGGCCTGTATCGGCTGTGGAGTTATTTACGCAGCAGTGTCCTTCTGGCTCAGAACCAGTCGCCCCCGCGGCCCGGCCCGGACCCCCTCCTGCTGATCCTGTGACCAGCAGCCCGCGTCCCGCACCCCCTCCTGCTGATCCTGTGACCGCAGCAGCCCGGTCCGGACCCTCATCCTGCTGATCCTGTGACCGCAGCAGTCCGCGGCCCGGGCCCCCTCCTGCTGATGAAGCCGTGTCTGAGAAATGAGCAGCCATCGCTACCAATATTTGATGGATAAATCAGCCGGGCGTCGTCCGCCCAGCGCCGTCCACCTTTTTGCCGTCCAGAAAATGCTAATGGGTGCCTTAATGTCGCCTGTAATTGCCCTTTTAATGAGGGCAGTGGCCGCGTATATGTCACACAGGCGCTGGGCCGGAGACGGGCGCGGCCGGGCCGATTTACGAGCTGCCCGGACGTCCACGGAATGCGGCCTGACGATCGGGACCGGGCTCCTCACGGCCCAGCGGCGAGCAATGATTTACATACAGATTCCATAATCCATATTCCACTCGGTCGGCTGAAGACGCTGTTTTCCGCGGTGCAATATGAAAAAGACCGCACTGCAAGACTGAGCAGCCTTTGCGCAATGTGCAATGCCGTATTTCATTGCGCAAGTGGTTTTTTGGTCGCCGTGCAATGTATAGGCGTGTGCAAGGGGTGGTTCTGTTCGGGGAACTTCTGCCGTCTTTCGGGTGTTTTAAAATAACGTTTCCGATAGCCATGATGCGAATCTGTCACGCAAAATCCTCACACAAACAAGTGCTGCCTTGTTTGAAGTAGCGCATTCAATGAGGTCGGATAGTCGCATGTCTGAAAAAAATCGCCTTGTTTCTTGTTGCTGATACGGGTAAGCATGCGGCGTTTTCGTCCAAACGGCCGCGACTTCGTGCAACTGCCACGGTTCTTTTTGCCAGCACTCAGCTGATTGTTTTAATCGGTGACAAAGGCCCGCCTGAAAGCCGATATCCCTTGCTAGCAACACTCTTTCTTTGTCCCCTCACTGATGCTGCTACTTATCGGTAATTTGATAACGCTTTACCCTGTGCTGATCCACCCCAAACACGGGATTATGCAGATTCGCGCACAAAACGTCGCCTAATTTTATTAGTTGGCTGAGTGCGGCAGAATTGGCTGCAGTGAGCCGGCCGGCGCGGCGGTGCGCCGCTGCTCGTCTCACTAACTCAGTCCCAGCGCGCCGCGGCTGCGTCTGGGCGGCGTGTTTTCGTCGCCGAGATGCGTCGGTTTCGTCACAGCTCGGGTGACCTTTTCAGATGCAAACCAGTCGCGCCGCCCGCTGGGGATTAGGCTTTTTGCCGGCGCGGCGCGGCGCGTCTCTCGGCGCGCTGCGTGAGAAAGGCTGGCCGGCCGCCGCCTGCAGCCGCCGCTTTCTCGGAGATGCGCCGACTTTTTGCCAGCCGCGCCATTTCGGAATGTTTCGGCCATATTTTCCATTGTGCAGCTCTGGCGCTTTTGATCCTCTCTGAAGGCCGAACGGCGCTTCCGAGCGGGCGACTCCGAATGGCGAGCTCTGTTTTCAAACGGCGGCGCGGCGCCTTCCCTGCGCTACATTTTCCCGCCGATTTCCTCTCAGCAATGCCACCGACCGGCCGAGACGTGATGAACCAGAAAGTCATGCGCGCGCGGCGCTATCGCGGGTCGCCGCCGCGACCGCGCCGCGAAATGGCCGCAGTCGCCGCCGGTTGACGCCCTGCCGGCGCCGAGCACCGTGGCCTATTGTGCGCGGGCGCGTCGCGCCGGTCGCAGGGACGCTCCCAGGTCGTTTGGGCATTCCTGCCGAGGAGCCGGACCGGCCTCGACCCAGGTGGTCTGCGGTGCAGCGGAGCGGGCGGAGCGGGCCGAGACGGTCCGCCCGGACGGCCGCCGCCACCGGCGCCCTGTTGTGCACTAACTAGTCCATTCTGTCCGCTCAACCTAATCTCATTTGGCCGGTAAAGACGACGCACGCCGGGGGGCCGGCTTTTTTCGCGTCAGCCCGGTCGCTGCCCGGTCGGTCGCGGCGGGCGCCGTCACGGGAAAGGGTGCAGTCGTTTTTGTAGGGCGCGATCTGATTTCTAAAGGACCAGGGTCGGTCAAATTTCCGTGTCGGGCTCCCGCGTGTGTCGGATGCTGACTTTTTGGCTTTGTCATTTAATGCGCGCCCGCTACGGTCGAGGGCAGCGTCCCTTGTGTCGCTCTGGAAAGAATGCGAGCGCGATGGGAAAGGGCGTACCGACCCCGATTTAGCTGGCGGGGCTCTGAATGCGACCGCCTTTTGGGGCGCGTGCAACTTGTCGGAGCGGCGCCGCCCTGTGCGATGTCTGAATGCGGGCGAGCAGCGGACGCCCGTTGGGAGTGACGCCTGTCGGTCCCGGCGTCAATCACTCATTAGTGGCTGTT